GCTGTATATATATATATATATATATATATATATATATATATATATATTTATGTGTCTTGGGTATGTGCGCAGCTTACTGAGATCGCGTGCAAGGGTTAACCAGGTTATAATTTGAGAGAAAAGGGAGATCCCCTTTTATTCTTTGCTTTTTAGAGTTTGTGTGGTTGGACGTTGTAGTCCGCGGCAGCCGTCAATGTCAAACCCCTTGACTTCCGCCCAGGCCTGGAGTGGGACTCATCTCCAAGGCAGTAAGAAACGACTGCCACCACAGGTATGGACCTGTGTACCACCCACTCTGCAGAGAGTGCAGAATAGGGTGTGTGGTCTTCAACCGCGCATGGCGGTTATCCAACGTCGAGAGTTTAACCCTCAAGGCGCAAGTCAGCCGACACTTGAGTGTCGAACGTGACCCTCGAGATTAGCGAGATCCGCGCGAGTATGAGTACTACATGGTACGCCATCATTGCGACTGCTTGTGTACGTTTGCATTGCTAAACGATACCAGTTAGCCCTGCGTCCGCGCAGTTTTATACTAAGTCTCGCGCAGTTTGCCTATCCGATTTCCGCATCGAAAGGTTATGGGATGGCTACTAAGGGGCTAGGAGCGTTGTCGCGTTGTCGATTGTGTGCGTTGTTTGCGTTGTGTCGTTTCGTGTGTGTGTGTGTTTTATTTTTGTGTTTGTAAAGTGGTGTGCGCGTGGTGTGTGGGATGCGTCCTAGTCGACCGACGTCGAGCCACGCTTGGGACTTCAGCCCCCCAAGATGTCGGTTCGCGTGCGGGTCTGATAGGCGTATTACCACGCGGACCCCCTATGCTATAGCGAACGAGAAACGCCTTCGGCTGGTCCACCTCTGCGATTGCAACTGATTAGCTTTCGTACAGTGGACTGGTAGCTCGGCGGGGATACGCCCACCGAAGGGAGGTGACAGCTCTCGTAAGGTGGAGGTAAGTTGTGCCTCACGTAGGCCCTATCTTGTCGTAGGGGCTCGCGAGAGGTATGGCTGGCGCACTCGGTCGGAGCGGCCTAAGGAAGCTTCATTTGTGCGTCCGTGACGAGGTTGGTCCAACTCCTGCGTGACGCGGCCGAGAGGGTCCCGCGCTGCCGCGTGCGGTGCCGGGCCGATGCGCCCGACACCGGGGCTAGAAACGGTGTGTATCTTCATCTTGCCGCGTCCTCGGCCGCTGCCGGGGCGGCCACCTTCCCGGGCGGCTGCGAGTCTGACTCCTTCACTGGCAGACACAGCCTCGTTGGTTTGGTCTAACGGCGCTGCCGCTGCGACCACGTCCAGTTTTGGTCGATGTTGGTCCCTACTGGGGCCTGACGCAGATGAACGRAGGTTCTTGGCCTCCTTGTTCGTGATAATGATCTGCGCAGCCTTGTCGAACAATTCCGCCATCGTTGTCAAGGTGTCCTCGACACGAGTCAGGGCATTGCTTAATGTCGGACATGACCTTGAAATGAAATAATGGAGGACGCCCTTGAAGCCCATCTGGATGTCTGGGACTAACGTCAAGCGTTGGTACTCGAAGATCCAGTCCGTACTCGGCAGCGTGACTTGCTCGAAGACCATGAGTTTGTCCATGGCTTTGATCTCTGGCGGCTCCACCTGGAACCGCTTGTGCCACGCTGCATTCAGATCATCCCAACTGATCTTGGTGTGCAAGTCAGCCGCTACCACTCCGTACTTAGACAGGAGGTTGTCCAACCAAGCCTAGCACTGAACGAGAGTACAAGTAGGCGTGATGCTTGTGTTCCTTGACGTTGGACAGCTGCAGCGTGAGCTCGAACTTGCGGAACCATGGAATCGGATCTGTCTTCATGGAGTCGCAGAAGATCTCCTGCCCATCAAGGTAGTGGCAGTGGTACAGACCCGCTGCTGCAACTGTTGCATCACAGTGAGCTGTAATTGTGCGCCATCCTGGAGTGAGCCGGCGTGCATCCCCAATGCACCGAGGCGATCGGCAGCATTGGAAGAGCCTGCGTCGGCGGCGGCGACTGGTCGCTGCTCCAACCGTTGAAAACGGTCTTGGAGGTGAGCTAGCGATCTGTCGAGACCAAGGATATCTGCCTGCTGTGTAATGCAGGTTGCCAGGAGATCCGTGAGATGCGAGAGGAGGAGCGCTATCTTGTTTGCGTTATCCTCCAACTGGTTATTCTCGGCCTCGGTTCGCCATTCTGCTGCCATGGTAAGTAATGCCCGCTCTCCAATAAATATCTTCTCACGACGCTGTGTTCTTTCTTCATTGGCAACCCTTGCTGCTGCCTCGTCATGCTGGCGCTGTTGTTCAAGTGCCAGCAGACGTGCCTGTTCGGCATCTTCTGCCTTCTTCTTCGCTGCTGCTGCAGCGTCATCTGCCCGTTTCTTAGTCTCGGTACTCCAGGCCAGCATACGCGCCTGATAGGCCTCGTCTGCTTCCCCAGGCCTCTGGTCCATGACTGATGTTTGAGATCGCAACAGCATAGACCGGAGCCGGGACCTGTTGATGTGGTATCCCTTGCTGCTGACATGGCACAGCTGACGTGTCCTGCTGACGTAGCCTGCTGACATGGCCTGCTGATGTACTGACGTAGTCTGCTGACGTGGCCTGCTGACGTGGCAACTCAGCAATGCCGCTGCAGGGGGTACCCAGATACAAACAGAAACGGAAAGGCGAGAGATGGCAACAACATAGGTGGGAAGGGGTGGGTGGGATAATCGTCCAACTCACACTTAGATAAGGAGCCACTAATCAAAGTAGGAACGTTTGAACTTTGCAAAAAAAAATTCGAGAAAAATAATATAAAAAAAAAATCCCGATTTTTGCAAGTTCAGTAGGTCTCCCAATCTCCCTTGCGATATAACGATTTTCCACTACAGAACAGCGAGAAAATAAAATCCGAGAAAAGAAAAAATTTTGATTTTCGGTGGTAAGGTCAAGATCGTGATTTTGGGGTCTAACTAGTATGTCCTAATCAAACAGACAAGACTAACTATCTTTTTAGTCCCCGCACACGTGTCAGATCAGGTTGTCCTGATTCACGTGTAAAGCTCCGATACCAACTGTTACATGCACAGATATGCAATGTACGTAATAACCGAGGAACTGCAGTGTGATGAAAAGGACTGAATGGACAATACAGTGCGAGTAGAATCTCGACAGACAATGTGCATTCTCATACATACAAAAGGTGCTGAATAGCACAGGGAAGACTTCGATACAAAGACTGACCTCATTCACATAGTTCAGAGTAACGAAGCAGAGTGCTAGAATACTACTAACTAGCCCAATCAATGTTTGAACTCAGACTAAACATGCATGATATCCATCACCGAGTGTGAAGGAGCCTGGCGCTGTACACAGGAAGARAGCGCCAGGTCCAGACATACACAGACGAAGAGATAAAGATCAGACGAAAGGAGGGAGAAGGATGGGAATGTCGTTAACACCAAGTCTTGGTCACCAATCCCAAATAGTCCCTCGTTGCCATGTCTGAACCCCCAAAAGTCGAGTTTGGATCAAATGTCACCAAGCTCTGTATCTCTTCTCTCATAGTCTGCAAATGCAGTGAAGTCAGAAGTTGAGAGGGAGAGAAGAGATGGTGGACTTGAGAAAAGGAAGAAGAAGAGCTCTCTCTCTCATCCTGTTACGAACCAGATACTAACCTGTGATGTGGCGCTGTGCTGCAGGTACCTCGAAGACGAAGCTGGAGCAACGGCGCTGCAGGTAGGTACCTCTGGCCTCCGCCCAAGCTCTCTCTCTCTCTCTAGTACTACCTAGCTATGGCGCCCAGCGCTGGAGACTACAGCTACCTACTGCGCCCAGCGCTGAAGACTACAAGCTAACGCTACTACTACTACACTGCAGCGCTCCCTCCAGAGTGCTGCTCCCGAATCCTGAAGACTACAACTGCCGACTGCATACCTCGGAAGTGCCTGTGAAGTCCTATGTACTACCTCGGCCTGCCTCCTGACTACTGGAGGACAGTCAGGCCGAGGAGGCAGCTCTTGCCAATGCCGAAGTGTGCCAGGGGCTGGCGTGCAGCAGCCTGCTTGAGGCTGGCGTGGGAAACAGACTATTAATAGTCTGTTCCCGAAACCCTGGTTCGGTGCCTGAGTTTCAGGRYCGGTCGTTCTGATGAACGACCGGAAAYGGCCCTTGGGTTCAGGCTAAAAATGCTACTACCATTTTTAGTCTGAACCGTCGCAGGGGCTGTAGGTCCTGAAAGTCAGGCTTTCGGCCTGAACCGACATGGGGCCTATAAGCCCTGGATTTCAGGCTTTCGGCCTGAAATTCAGGCTTTTGGCCTGAAAACCGTCGGGCCTGCAAAATGGCCGTCGGGCCTGCAAAATGGCCCGTGTGTGCACGCGCTGCATGTAACAAAGGCACACCATACGAGTCCACCGGCGTAACCCCCTTTCAGCTCACGACCAGTGATCTGGCATGTTGTGGCCTTCCCTCAGTTAGCAGACCAACAACAGTTTCATCGACGAGGAACGAGGGCTTCGATCACAGACGACCCCCAGCGATATTCTGAATTAATGGGAAAAGATCTTCCGCACCTAGCGGGGAAAAGATAAAGAATAACCGAATGGGGTGTGCCTAAATTTCATTCACCCGTCTGATTTTTTATCTTGAATTAATGACATCAAAAGCTGTTTGCATCAGACTTATTTCCTTCCAGAGTTGTTTTAATTGAAACATTTTAATATTGTCCTACGGATGAGGACTACCATGATTGAACCACCTACGCATATCACTTACCCGAATGAGGAAAGGTACACATGAAATTAAGCATTCTTCAGTCGCAAAGGTGTCTCACGTGTCATGCGAGTACAAGGATTCATCATTAGACGCTGGCGACATGAAGATGTCAATTCATACTCTAAGAAAGCAGCAGCGCACAAGAGATGACAGGATTCCGAAGGAGAGCTTGGGAAATGAAAGACGACTACCTGCAGAAGAGGAAGCCTCAGAGAATATCTGGTGAACATTCCGTGGTAGAAGGAAGAAGACATACCTTTTTCAGATTTTGTTCATACATCTTGACCTCACTTTCTTCAAGATCATCACCAACCTCATACAGAATTCTGCAGTTCAGACATCATCACATTCTCGAGTTAGAGAAATGCCCTAGCCGGGTGTTTGGCCAGTAGACACAGGAAGCACTCTATCAACTGACCATGCAGAGATGCCTACCAAAGAGCACACAAAACTGAAAGAAACGCACACAGTGTCTAGTTAGGAGAGAAAATTTCAATACATCAAGGAGCTAAATCATTCAAAGGGATCAACATATAGGAGAAAGAAAGATGTCCACCTCTCTCTCTCTCTCTCTCTCTCTCTCTCTCTCTCTCTCTCTCTCTCTCTCTCTCTCTCTCTCTCTCTCTCTCCCTCCCTCCCTCCCTCCCAGGCCCACACCCCATGAAGCGTCCATCGACCGCCATCCACACGTCCAACCATCCCCACCCACCTTTGTAAAATGCAATAAACACAACACCAAAGCTCGGATCTATCTACTTTTTTTTACCTCTTTTTTTCCTTTTCTGACTTCCACTGCTAGCCAGCTATGGGAAGCGATACTCTCAGGCTTAACTATCCGGAATCTGCAACATCACTTGCACAACCCCGCCTGCATCCCTTGTCAAACACAATAAACGCAACACCAAAGCACATATCTTTCTCCTATCTTTCCTCTTCTTTTTTGACTGGCACCATTGACCAGCCATGGCATGGCGGAAGACTAAATCTTGACTACACACTACCCGCAGCTTTGCTCGTACAGCACCAACTGCGTTTTCCCACACTGTCCACACATCAGCGACCACACTGTGGCACCACCCCAGGAACGCCAATGGCGTATCTATATGTTATAGGAAACAGGGGAATGTCCGCCTCACACGCACTGCTCGTTTCCCGGACTAGTCCTTGGAATCTACGATCCAGAAATCAATCCATGTGACCTGTTCCCAGACATTCCCTGCATGGCCTTTGAACCTCCAACTCAAAACGTCGCAATTACCTCTGCTTACCAACTAACCTATGCCAGTTCCTCCGAGACAGTATTTGCAAGACAAAAAAAACTGACGAAATAAAATAACAAAAACACAATCAGGCACCTAATCTACAGTCCAGAATAGCAAATCTCCAAGACAGTATTTGAAAGACAGAGAAGTTCAGACAAAAAAAAAAAAACTGACGAAATAAAATAACAAAAACACAATCAGGCACCTAATCTACAGTCCAGAATAACAAATCCATGTAAACCGACCTCACCTACGCCACCTCCTCCACCTTACCAACTCATCCACTCCAATTCCATGGAGACACTATTCACAAGAGACCGAAGTTTGAAACAGGAAAAGGAAATTGTACAGAGAAACAGGGGCCTCAGACCACAGAGCACCATCCAAAACGCCAGACAGATGGCAGCACTGTGTCCAGCACATACGCTTGCTTCATTTACACGGAGAGAGATCGCAGTTCAAGTCGTTCTCCTCAAACAAAACATACATGCACTTTTCTCTTGTTTCTAATGGGCTCATACAAGAATGAATCTTGCCGTGAACCACACACATATACCCGACACAGAAACGACAAAAGACCCTCGCTCCTCTTCCCCATCACTTCACTGAAAACAGAAACAACTACCTTCCCATCCTCCACCCTCAATATACATTTTCCACTCTTCTCCTTCACATTTGTAACATCTTTACCACACACCACAGGGCTCACTTCTGCCTCAGGAGTTCGCACCAGAGTGCACAACAAAAAGAAGCCACAAAGTTGAAAAACGTGGCACAAACCCTTGTGGTCGAAGCCCTGGCATGCATCCGACCAATCACACTACACACAGGCAGGCACGCTAGCATTTTTTGGCACACATGAGGTCGGTACATTTATGAAGAGTTATCTGAGGTAAGCCATCAAGTCCAATCCAACCCTTTCTACACGCCCTTAAGCCCCCATGTAACTTTACCTCATTCTCCCTAACATATCTCCCAGGAGTTATGTTTGAGCACGAAGGCTAAGGGTCGCTAAATCCCTTCAAAACAATTGATATAACTCTGCTGGCAGATCCTCAAGACCAAGCTATTCTTTCTATCTGGGTTAAAAACACCCCAGAGTTATGTTTGGGGGAAGGTAGTCATGTGTTTCATGACACAAAGATGTGTTTGTGGTGCATTGACATTCCCAACATGCCTTTTTATTCTTTAACATTTTTTTCTAAGGTTTTCTAACTTACCAGGAGTTTTGAATAAATAGGGCCCAGATAATATGGTTGAGGGTTGACCGGATCCAGATGACGACTCCCTAGCCTTACAGACATTTTCCCTGGCCCTACACGGCCTTCAGAGTACCCCTTATAAACCATTCTGACAAACAGGGATCGTTGGCGATAGCGTGAGAGGTCAAGAGCATGGCCTGGGCAGACATTTTGATACGACTTCTGAAAAGCAAGCAGTGAGGAGTACAAAGTCCGTCAGCAGCAGGACCGCAATGACTGCAATCTAGCAGACGTAGAAAATGGAAGGCACCGCTTGCTGATCCCAGGGCCTCAGAGTAAAGTGGGCAATAGAGAGTAAGCAAGCAAATAGAAAGAATCGCATGAACACTAGGAGAATGCTATAGGCACACACAAGAGAAATCAGCAATATACCTCCAAGGCTCCTTTTTCCGAGGTGGATTTGTGCTCTTGCCAAAGAGGAAAGGCTGACCCAGCCTCAAATTACCGAAGAGCCCAGAATGTCACATTTTTTCATTCTTAAGTTTACCTGAGCGAGGTACTGGTGGTTTAAAGGCACACAACAGAAATGATGTCTGAAGCGCACAAGAGAGTGACATGATAACTACCATGCAGCGCATAAGTATGGGTGTGCTGCGAGACATCAAGTGAGCAAGCAAGCAAAGAGAGAGAGAGAGAGAGAGAGAGAGAGAGAGAGAGAGAGAGAGAGAGAGAGAGAGAGAGAGAGAGAGAGGCAGCATTCAGACAAAAAGACGCTCCGCAGCTTCACTCCGGAGCAGAACATCACGCATCCGTCACGATGCGACAATTTCTAGTCCCTCCATCTGCCAGCCAAGATGACCCCAGAATCAGTACAGGTAAAGAAAGAACAAGGAAAAATAACACACCTGTCGCCAGCGAAGACCATTGGACTGTCGACGCAGAGCCGTTTGCGCACAATCTGGAACAAATCAGAAACAAGGTGAACGTGTAAAACACTCGCAAAAGAGCACGCCAGAACAGCCTGTTGGTAATGCAAATGAGACTGGGGACAGGCAAAATGCACAAACAAGCAATGTCACATTAACAGTCTGCCATCTGAATCATGCTCAACACCAATCTTCAGGATTCAACTGATTACACATGGGTAATAGGGCAGTCTCTAGCTCCATTAGATGGGTCCCTATAATGCCGCTGGACCATCCGTAAGGGTCCAAAAGAAAAGGGCAGAGACAGGTCTCCTTTTGTAAGTCAGTCAACCGTACTGTTTTCTAGACCTGTTCCCAGACCCTGCCTAGATAATCCAGCTGAACCATCCCCTATCTCTATGCTCATCTCACTCAACGCGACAGACACATCCTTCACAAACCCAGAAGCATGACAATTAGAAATTTGTCAAAGAGGTTGCAAAAACATCTGTGTGAGGGGGACAAAGTGAGCGGGGCTTCTCCTTGAATCATTACGCACCTTATTGATTACACAACCAAGAGTTGTATGCTGAGCATCTGCTTCAAGCGTCAATGGTTTCTGAAGCAAGAACAGCCAAGGAGACAGAACACAGGTGATAACACTGCCGAGAGAACATACCATGTTTGGAAAACATCCAGATACCACAGCACGCACAAAGCAATGTTGATTGAACAGGTTGCAAAACAGAGGAAACAGCAAGGAATAGCACAACATCTGCGCAACCACACACGAACGCACGAGCACACACACACACACACACACACACACACACACACACACACACACACACACACACACACACACAGAGAGCTTAACCACGGTATTATGTAGCCCCTGGAGTACTTTCATGACAACTGTCTTGCTTTTGAGACTACAATAGTCATCATACAACAACAGCCCAAAGCCTCCCTAAGCAGAGATCATGATGAAGGTCATCTGCCATCATGCTCAGTTTATGCATCAAAGACCGCACACTCAACATTTCAGAAGAGCAATGAGTCCTTTTGTAGAATGGATTACAACCAAACACACCTAGCGAAAAAGAAGCAAAGCATGTCATCAGTAGATGCCTATCATGCATCACTTCTACATCAACACCTACTATAATAACTGCTAAACGTCACATCGCACGGCCCGAATCGCAGGCCGGTAACCACCACGGACGGCGTGGATCGCAGGCTGATCGATCAGAAAGTTTTCTGATCGGCCTGCGATCTGGGCCGTCCGTGGTGGTTACCGGCCTGCGATTCGGGCTGTGCGATGTCAGATTTCAGATTCTGCCGGTCGCTACCGGAGGCGCCGATTTGCAGGCCCGTCCGCCTGTCCGCCCACCCATCCGCCCGGAATTGTGGCCCCCCCGGCCCACTCCACGGTCGCCAGTTGGTACCAGAAGCATCAAATCGCCCGCCCATCTGCTTTTGTTGCCCCGGCCACCCACTTCAGTGTTGCCGGCCATCCCTCCAATAGCCCGTGCGCCCCTTTTTTTGTTGCCGGCCCACCCCTCCAATCGCCAGCGCGCAATGTTGTTGCCGCCCACGGCCACATCTCCAATCGCCTGCCACTTTCGTCTGCCAATCAACGTGCTCATGTGTGTGCTCCGTGGTCTGCCTATCAATGTGCTCGTGTGTGTGCTCCGTGGTTGGTGCGTGTGGGTGCGTCGGTGCGTGTGCTCGGCAGTCTGTGCTCTACGGGTGCCTCTCTCTCTCTCCATCTCTCTCTCTCTCTCTCTCTCTCTCTCTCTCTCTCTCTCTCTCTCTCTCTCTCTCTCTCTCTCTCT